AAGGTAAAAGTGGAATGAGGATTGGGCAAGGTAAAAGTGGAATGAGGGGTGACTGTTACTGTAATAAGGTGTGCATGTAGCTTATAAGGATTTTTTTGGTTTGTTTCTCAATCGTAATTGATATATATACTATTGTCACTGAATGTTAGCCATGAATTTGACCAGAATTTTTAAAATAGGAATAGTGTCTTTGCTTCTTTGAGCAAATGTTGCAATACAAGTAATTTAAATGTGTGATTTTAATAAATTGCTTGCTTAGTTTTATTGCAGCTACTCCGACTCCTTTTGTACCTTTAACTAAAAATAACATTTTCTGTAACAACATAGTCTTTGTGAGGAGCAATGCATTGTTTGCAATGCTTTGTTCACAATTGCACTGTTGGATACTCTGGAGTGTCTTGTACACGAAATATATTTTCAAAAGGTTTTCATCTTTCTTTAAGGATTAATTCCTGCCCAAACAATTGCTCAGGCCATGGAAAGTGTGTGACTGGAAATAGCGGCAGGGTATTCTGTGAATGCGATGAGTATTGGAAAGGGGAAGCTTGTGACATTCCATATTGTAAGGACAACTGTGGAAGCCCAGATCATGGCTACTGTGACCTAACTGGAGAGAAGCTCTGTGTCTGTAATGACAGCTGGCAAGGTAAGTTGATTTAACTGCAACATTGATATATAATGTATAACTGACAGAAATGAGCTACAGATTCAGCCATTCAATACCCCACAGCATCAGGAGAAAATGTTATTTACAGTGAAACTTGACCTGCACGTGGAATAATTGAAGCAAATAGTACAGCTGCATTTAAGGGAAATTGGATGACTGTGATGATGGAGAAAGACAGGAAGAGATAGATATTTTGAAGAAATCAGGTATGAGGAGACATACAGAGCATAAAGGTTGGTCTAGAATTGCTGAACTAGTTGTGATGTCTGTGCTGTAAAAACGTGTGTCCTTCAGCATAACCATAATTTCTTCTGTAACATCATAAAATATGCACCTCCTTCTGCCTGAAAGCAGAGAAATTTCCTGGTTAAGGCAAAAAAAAATGCCCCGTAGCTTTACATCCCTTTTGCTTTTATGTCGTTTAAATGTTCCCCATTCAACGTTATTAAGAATACTATTTGATTGAGACAGAAATTCAATCTATTCTGACACTTGCCAGAAATGATGGTGTTATGTTTAGTCTCTATCAACAATTGGAGTTTTCCTTTCACATACGAACGTGGCTAGACCAATGCAGATGTTGGCTCAGCAACAAATGTGTGTTTTGGGATGGTCAGAGTTGGCAACTTTGTCCTGCCAGGTTGTGTCATAGATATGTCTGAGGAAAATTCCATTTCTTTCTTTTGTTTGTATTTTAACTATAGTGTAAGAATAAAATGTGTTTTGCTTCAAGCCTGGTAGTTTCACCAATAGAATTGCATCCAGAACACACACTGCCTTACACTTGCCTTCAAAAATAAGAAAATGTTGGCGTCTGGGCCACCATCTTAGTATATTTTGAGGGGTTTTGGTCCAGTCCATGCTTTCTTGTGGGGTCTTATTTTGCTGCTGCCTCCAATACAGTTTAAATCATTGTTTCAGTACTTGGTTATCTTGAAAGATTTCTTAAGTAGCCAAATAAAAGATAATTTGTGGTGAATTATCCATAACAATAGTATTTTTCTTGCACCAGCTGCACTAAGGAGGTAGTTTCATTTGTACATCCTCCAGTTCTGAAACCATAATGATGTTCAGATTGATATATTTAGCCAAGACCTGCAGGACCAAAAGGCAAATACATTTCCCAGCAGAGAGATATTGAGCATTGGTGGCCATTGCTATTGATACCTTTGATCTGTTAAGTTACAATCTTTGTGTCACACTCGTCCTGGGGAATATGCCAGCTGCAACCAGCAGGAGAAACTTTTGAGTAGATGCTGCAAGAGTGCCAGTTCCTGTACTTGATGAGCTCAGGTGGAATAGCCTCATTGCCATGAACTTAGCTAAACTCTTCCACTGTGCCTTCAATATCTAGCTTTGTTGAGACAACCAGACTTTATTATTATTAATACAGTTCCAGATTGTATTCTATGCACCTCCATTGGCTTTTAGCAGTTGTTAGTGACCTTGCCAGCTTTGTTTTAAATGAAATATTCTTTTCTGCTAATAGATTTATTGCCTATTGATTTTTGTACATGCACCTGACATTTCTCGTGTTGAACAGCAACTGGATAATCTGGCAAAGTTCTAACCGATAATTGATGCACTCCTGGCAATCCCTACAAGGGACTAGGCTCACAAACTAGGCAGATGAAATGTGAGCAAACTAGAAGCTTTCCTGTGAAGAACACTCTACCCTCCAATGATAGAACCCTACACAAATGATTAATAATTTATTCTCTCTATCTGCCTCTCAAATCAATCGGGACGAGTGAACAACTTTTAGTATCTGTGCTCCATGCTATTCTTCACTGCAAAGAAGAAAGGCCAGTTTCGCAAGGAGCTTGACATTGTTATCAGCAGAATTCCTCAGTCAGAATGTTATTGTCTGCTGGGGATTTCAGTGCAAGAATGGGCATGGGCCATGATGTGAGACACTCTTTCCTCTGCTATCGGGGCCTGGGAAATGTGAACCGACAAAAGCTACCTGACCTTTGCTGTTAGCAAGAGCTTTGTACAATTAGCACCTTCTTTCAGAATAAACCAAAGAAGTGTCCTGAATACAAAGATTGAGACATTGGGACTTGCTGGAACATCAACAGATTTGACTGAACAACATTCTCAACACACAGCTGTTACAGTGGTCACTGTGACACTGTTCACTCTGGATGTCTTTTAGGATGAGGATGCAACCCTTGTAGTTTTGTCCTTCATGCAAGAAATGCTGTGCTAGTATCAGCAACAGCCATAATTCATATCCAGATTAAAAAGCCAAATCCATGAATTGATCGAACAGGTGCTCTGCAGCATTACCACAGTGTGGAAGTGAAGTAGGGAATACGCTTTGAGGTGCTATCCACAATATTATGCGCACTATATAGGGGATACTTGTGTGGAAAAGTGCTGGCTGATTCAAGGCTAACATTGCTGTTATGGAACCTGCTATGAATGCAAAATGGCTTGCTTGCAGTTACAAGAATGATCCACACTGGAGGAAAAAGAGTTTCTTGAAATAAGGAGCCAATAGGTTACAGTCTAATCTCTTGTAACAAAGTGATAAGTGCTTTCACATCATATTATCTTAAAAGTGTGGAGTTCAGTTTCTTCAGATATGAGTGGTTAGAGTTTTAGAAATACTCAGACATGTGATCAACCAAGGTGAACTATCCTTGTCAGTATTAGGCTGTTGACAGCCATGAGTGGCTGATCAAATCATTCTCATTCAGCACCTCTTCACTGCCATCCAGCTAGGTGGGTCTACCCTTGCAGTTTTAGTTATTTAATTATATTCAGAAAATTGTCATCATTGGCTGGCTGTTCTTTCCATTCATGTATATTTACTTCTAATAAACTCTAGGACCCCGCTTTGTCATCTACATCCAGGCTGTTTATAGCATGATTCAAAACCATGACAGTTTCCACATGTATTCTCAACTACCACCTATTGTGATCTCTTCACTATTACTGAATTATCAAGCTGCTGTTATGATATTGTGAGACTGTTAGTTTTTTTTTAAAAAAAGACTCCTCTGCTAACTGAAAGAAATTGGGAGTCAGTGGGGAGAGGGTAATGGCAGCAGGTTGTGAATTGTGCATCTGAGATTCATAGAACCAACTGGTTTTCAACATCTGTTGGGAGTGGGGCTAGCCTTATGGAGAGGTAAAAGAACCCTTTTGGGTATAGTCCTAGGCAAATAGAGTATACTGTGGGGGAAAATGTGAAGTTGTTCATTTTGGAAGGGAGAGTAAATGAATAGAATGTCTCCATTTAAGTAACAAAGTGCAGAATGCTGCAACACAAAGGGATTTGGGGTGCTTGTGCACAGAAAAGATAGCACAGGTACAGCAAATAAAAAGGAAGGCTCATGGGATGTTGGCCCTTATTTCAAGGGGTTTAGAGTACATGAGTAGGGAAGTATTACTACAACTGTACAATGTGCTGGTGAGCCCACATCTGGAGTATTGTGAACAGTTTGGGCGTCCTTAAGGAAAGATGCAGTTCTGTTGGAGACAGTTTAGGGAAAGTTCACAAGGATGAACCCTGGTGTGGAGATATTGTCTTGTTTAGACTTTGCTCATAAGTTAGGACTGTACTCATTTGAACTTAGAGCAATGAGAGGTGATCTCATTGAAACGTTTGGGATTCTTAAGGGGCTAGGCAGGCTCAGTGCGGAGGGGATGTTTCCCCTGTGGGAAAATCTAGGACCAGAGGGCATAGTCTCAGAATAAACAGGTGTCAATTTAAGACTGAGAGGAGGAATTTGCTGAGGGTTGAATCTCTTTGGAACTCATTGCAATTGATCTGTGGGGACAGTCCTTGTGTATAGTTAATGCTGAAATAATTATTGATTAGTAAGGAAATCTAAGGGTTATGGGAAAAGGGCAGGAAAGTAGACTGAGGTCAGTCTCAGCAGTGACAGCAGCAGCAACTATAGAGTAAAAGAGAGCAAACAGCGACAGCAGAATAAACACCTGAGGAGTGGGGCCTGGATTAAGATCAGTCTGAGCAGTAACTGCAGCAGCAATAGAGTGAAAGTGTGAATCTGGGTGTGAACAATGGCAGTGTGGAGCTGAATCTAGGGGCAGAGCTTTGGATGTGATGTTACGACTCAGTGATATAGGCTTAGCTTTGCATGTTGAGTAGTATCTGGAGCTGCAACTGGCCTCGCTGTGGACCATCCATGATGCTGAAAATGTTGTGGATAGCACATCTAGTGAGCTGGTCACACCGCTAGTAAGGACTAGACGGAGATGGGTGACCACCAGGGAGACAAATAAGCATGGGCAGGCAGGAGCCGTCTTTGGCCATTCTCCTCTCAAACAACAGGTATGCCGTTTTGGATACTGTTGGGAAGGCTGCTGGTCTCGGGAAAGCAGCAGCAGCCAGATCAGTGGCACTATGATTGGTTTTGTTGCAGAGCAGGGAGAGTCAGGTGTTGGCAAGCAGTAGTGATAGTAAGCTTTTTAGACGGAGGAACAGGCATTTGTGGTTACAAGCAAGACTCGGGTGGTGTGTTGCCTCCCTGGTGCCAGGGTCAAGATGTGTGAATGCGCATAAGATATTCTGAAGGAGGAGGGTGAGCAGCCAGAGCCGATGGTCCATAGTGGGTACCAATGACATAGCAGAAAAAGAGGAGCCCCTGCAAAGAGAGTTTGGTAGGAAGTTGAAAAGCAGGACCTCTAGGATTGTAATCTCGGAATTACTTCCTGTATCATGCGCCAGTTAGGCAACACATAGGAAAATATCAATTAAATATATGACTAAACAGCTGGTGTAGGAGGGAGGGCTTCAGGCGTGTGGATCATTGGGTTGTCTTCTGGAACAGATGGGACCTGTAAACTGAAGGGGCACTAATATCCTGGCAGGGATGTTTGCTGGTGCCATTTGGGGAGGGTTTAAATGAGTGTGTCATGGGAAGCGGAGTACTAGGTCAACAAATAAAATGACAGAGTAAGAGTCTGAGACTAAGACCAATAAGACTGAAGAAGAACAGGCAGAA